TTGTCCCTTCCACTGAGACATCGGAGGGATGCGGTTCCCGTTGAGACTTCCCACGAGCTGAGGGTTGTGGTTCGGATTCATCCAAACTACATCACACGTTCCGTCGTGAAGCGAAACAAAAAACGTCCAGCCTGAGAATTGCATAACCCCTCGTGGGAGACAAAGAACACCGACAGAAGTCATGAGTGGCGGGTTGTCATGGAAAGGGGGTCGCCTCAGAACTCTCGATGGGGGAGTGTTGTGTGTAAACCATGGGTTGGATGTAAGGGGGGCATAGTCATCCAACCACTGGCATCGCAAATGACATCTACTATTGCCTTCATCCCGAGATCGGATGAATCCGAACTCCATCCGGAACAAGTGGGACGGACAGCACTCTCTCATTCCCTCTGCAATCCCGAGAACGCCTCCCTACGCTGCTCTGGAAAACAAGGCTGCGATTAATTGGAATCGAAATGTGATCGGCGTGGATCGAGAGCTGATCGTTCCACGAGGTCATTGTGCGTTCATTCAGCTCAGATTTCGAGACTGCAATCGTCGCGAGGATTGTCCACGTTAGAGTTCGCCCAAAATGAATCGTGGCGAGGGGACGGGCTGCCGCACGGGCGGCGATGCTGTGAAATTTTCCTATGGGCTAGATGGAACTTCTAAGCGTTAGTTCCATATCCAAAATGTTGCTAATGCGTGTCCGGCGTCTCGCGCCCGGTTGCGTGGCGGTTGCTCATTGCTAGCTGCGTGTGCGAGAACGGGCGATGAGACAGGGAACGTTCAAGACAACAAGAAAAATATCCTGATGTCGTCCACAACCGCGATAGACATGTTCAATCACCGAGTCGATCGGAAACGAGCTCGAAGTTGGCACTTGGCGGTGGGATGTTGCGGGATCGGTGGTAATCTGGGATGTTTCGGATTCGCCATGGGTATCCTTTGTGCGCAAAGGGTTGTCGCTGAACGTTGTGGATGGGTGGCTTGGCCACTCTTGGCTGTGAGTGCGACACGGGCGATTCCTGTTGGAGGTGCGTGTTTGTCGTGAGGCTTCTTATCATCAGCGCTGCGATAACAGATCGTCCGATAGGCGTCAACACCGAAAATGGATGGACGGGATCTTAAAGTCGATCGACACGCGTTTTTTAGATGACGTCTCCAGTGTTGACGTCTATCGGGTGATGTGTCATCGCAGCGGTGATCACATACCGCAATTTTGAGGACGCTAGGGAGCAACGGCGATGAAACTTCATCCACGCGTCGAGTGCGGTCGTCGGAGGCGTCCGACGATCTTGACTGCGAAAGCCGCAGACCATTTCGAATTCCAGACGTCATGCGCAAGATGGTGACGTCAGCGTGTGTCAGAGGAAGGGAACTTTCGTGGTTATGAGCTGCGGACATCGTGGACTGAAGATCGCGCGCATGTCGACTCGTGCATGATAGACGGAGCAGGCGGTGATGTAGAAGAATACTCGCACGACCGACTGCGTTGCGATATCCTAAGTAGACTGGGGGAGGACGACCCGCAAGCCAGGGTCCAAGAAAGTGTACCAACAAGCGATGTTGAGCACGCCAAGACTCGAGGGCGATGCGACTTTCTCCACGCGTCAGATGCGGTCGACGGAGGGCGCCAAGACTAGAGGGCGATGTTGAGGACGCCAACAAGCGATGGTGAGGCACCAACAAGCGATGTTGAGGACGCAAACAATCGATGTTGAGGACGCCAAGACCCGATCCCGATGACTGTGAAAGCCGCAAGCCATTGCCTGTCGCTGACGTCATGTGCAAGATGATGACATCAGCGTGTGTCACTGCATGGGGTCTTTCGTCGTTGTGATCGGTGGGCGTTGTGCGCTCAAGATCGTGCGTGCGTGATTGGTGGAGCAGGTGGTGCCAGAGAACAAGACTTGCACAATCGAAGGAGCGGAAGGGCAATGGGAAGAGGTGGGGGCTTGAAATGGTGAAGGGGTCGAGTAGGGGGCGTGGGCTTCTTACCGACCTGCGAGTCGACAAACGCCTCCAGCCAACACAAGAAAGCACAGCGCGAACGGGACAACGCGCAAGGTCTACAGTCGCGTGACGTTTTCGTTAGCGCCCCCGGCTATCGACGATTGCTGGAAGAATGAGGGCCAAGATGCGCAAGGGGCCTGCGATATGATGCGGGCGACTTCGAGCGATGGCGGACGCGTCACAAAGGCAGCACACGGAAGAAATGACACCAGCGAACGGGTGTGACAGCCACCCCCATTCATTTGGTGCCCGACAGGAGTGGGTCTTGAGGGGCCCTTCAGCTGTCCTCCGCAGGTACTGCCGCGTCGGGGGCTGTGACATCAGGCGGTCCCTTTTTTGACGGACCCTCCTCACGAAATCGCACAGTCCGAAACCGTCGCAAGAGGGCAGGCCATGATTGCGAGAGGACTGGCCTTTTTTCACCGTGCTATCGATGGTCCCAACGCATCTGGCGCAAATTTTCCCGCCCACTTTTGAATATCTGGGCCCGCACGGATTTTACCGTGATATCGACGGTTCCAACGCGTCATCCGGCGTGACTTTTCCCCCCCACTTTCGTTTCTTGGGCCCCGCTCGGATGTATCTGCCATTCGAATGACGGTGGCGCCATTCCGCGAATTTGCCGGTGGGCATTGCAATCATCCGAAGCAGCAGGCAATCGCAGGTGTCGCCAACCCTCACGGCCGAAAATGCCCGTCGCGCGCCCGGATCACCCGCCGTTGCCAGCGACAAAGCCATCTCGTCGCCGAGGGACACAGCCATCTCGTGGCCATATGCCCCGCCGTTTGCCTCGCTTCTCTCTCTCTCTCCCTCGTCACCATATCCCTCGCCTCGCCATCTCCTTCGCGTCGCAATCTCCCACGTCTCCATTCGCGGTTTTGCCATTTCACGCGTTGGCACCTCCCTTTTCGCGTGTCGCGACACGCGTCGTCGTATTGCAGTTTGAGATCAACAACAGTTGTAAATCGAGGAAAGAAAAGGTGCGTTCTCTCTCTCATTCTATCTCCCTTTCTCATCTCTCTCTGTCTCACTCCCTTTCTCTCTCCCTCTATTTGGCGCTGCCTCTCTCTCTCTCTCTCTCTCTCTCTCTCTCTCTCTCTCTCTCTCTCTCTCTCTCTCTCTCTCTCTCTCTCTCT